CAGGGAATCAGTAGAGGAAAAGAATATATAATCTACTCTAATTGCATTAAGGTCTAACAGCCATCCCGTCTGTTTACATAGAGAAGGCTGTATTGACCTAATATATAATAGCTCTAATTTTTTCGAGTGGTAATCTGAATGTGCTCTACTAATTATGGTAAAGGAATTTCTAGCAAACGACATGCACAAACCAGATTATTAAGTGTTCGGCAATCGCTGAAGCTTAAGGATTGACCAGCTTATGCAAATAATCGCGTCTCCAATGACAGATCATAGCTGGCATATGCTGGTCTATTCTAGTCCCCAATCTTTAATTAGTTCTGCCTGTATATTCAGCTTTGCACTAATATTTATACTTGTAAATAACTGAGCTTACACAATGGCACGGTGGCAGAGACAGAAGAAACAGATCTCAGCAAAGATTGGGACGAAAACACCAGTCGTAGATTAGCAGATGAATAGCAAGGTTTCGCACTTACAGAAATTTGTTTAGCAAATCTGGTGCTAACCTCATCAATACACAGAATAAACTGGGCACTTCTCCACACCAAGCTTTTTAGATTTAATAAATTGTTCCGTCTTGGTACGAATGCCAGATTGCCCAACGCGTCCATTGTAACTGATTGAGAGCAAATTTCCAAGGCTCAATGCACTAAGGACTGGTTAAATTTCTGCTGTCCCCAGCAAAACGAGTCCCAGCGAGTATAAGTGAAGGAATGATTACGGTACACAGAGGTCAGGAAATAAGTATCCGACCATTACACCAGGAAAAAGCAATGCCATATTTTTCCTTTTCGCAAGTGAATCTTAAATTGGGTGCATTAAGTCACCCAGGAAACACCTCCATCAACTCAATGAAGACAGCCTCTGAAATTGTAGAGGGAGAAAAATGACTCCGATCCAAGACAAATATAAATGTTTCCCCCGACGAGACACACGGGAAAAGACTTCTAATATCAAACGAACGCATAAATTTATAATCCGCCAAAGGGACAATTTTGCACAAAAACAGCAAAAATGAGCGATTCTTAATGCAATGAACCGGGTAGATTTCCAGTACTGGTTTGTAATATCACTTAGCTCATTTATGCTGCACTGAATATGGTGGGCCTTAATAGGACGTTGACATTGTGGGTCTTTCATACAGCCAGGACGGCACAGTACCCATAGGCCTGATGGTATTTATCAATCCACCCACGGGGATCGAATGTGGCAAAAGGCCTTTTTAATGTGGGTATCTCTGAGCCCGTAGGCCCAGTAAAAAATAAATAACCATCCAAACCCGCCGAGGCGTGCCAGTTCCGTCAACCTCCCCCAACGAAACCCTACCCTTCGGCGGAGCTTCGTCCGGGTTCCTCTCTGCAAGCAGAGAGTTCGACAGACACCCGACCCGGCAGCTCACAAAGCGCAGATACTACACTTTGATCCTAGCCACCGGGCCGAGCGGGTATTCTTTTTATAGATACTTTTTTTCCCCCATAGGCCTGATGGCTTCACAGATGTTCTTATCTAATTTGAGCAAGCGTTTCTGAAATTCCGGCTCAATAACTTTTGGTTTTGTCGTGTACGGTATTTGGTCCCAATTGCACGAATTTCTCACAGTCTCCCAAAACTCTCATCATTTTGTTTACGTAATCGTCATAATCCAATTCCACTACACCCAATTCAACACTATCAATAAGTGTTCTAGCATAATCAGATCAAGTGAATTAAATTTAGTTTCAAATAACTGTGAATGCCTGGAAAAATTGCCTTTTAACTGTCAAAATTCCATGTCATGTGACAATACACTCATTTCCATAAGTGAAAATTGCTGTCAAGTTAAATTTAGAACTCTCTTTTTACCTGAATCGAACAATCTGCTAAATCTCTATCAACTGCAGTCTTTTTTTCTTTTTTTTTTGGCGAATAATGTTAGTACTGGCATCGCTAGGCACGTCAAGCAAGGAAAGGTACTTAACTGTCGAAGTACGAAAGTAACATATGCCAATGCTTTCAAAAGCACTGAAATTCACGCTTTAGATGGTCAATTTTCATGGTTAGTTTTAGTCTGTTGTCGATAATGAATGCACATTCAATAGTTACACTGATTTCACTTGGATCTCGATATCTGAAAATCACAAGAACAAATTCGATATTCAAAACAGTTTTTAAAATAATTTGTTGGAATGAGCCGTTCTGGTTTCCCCACTTAGTTTACCAGGTATTTCTTTTAACATAATCAGTAGAGAGCCTTCCGATTGCCATCTGAAACTATTAGAGACATTATACATTAAATCTGGACAGCCTTCCCTGTACTGATTTCCTGCCTGTTAATTTATTATTTATTGTTTTTTGTTTGTTTGTTTTTTTGTTTTTTTAAACATTGTTCACACAATTTACACGTTTTTTTTTCCTCGATTGATTCGAAAAAGCGAGCATCGAAAACCGTTTCGGTTCTTTTTTATTATTGTTTCGATTCACATCTTTACTGGGATTTATTTACTCTTCCTCTTCTTTCGCAGTTTGTTGGGTTTTTTATATTTGGATATAGTTTTATACGTTTAGACATTATCAGGGATGATTTTTTTTTTCAATTTAATTGGGTGTGTGGGTTGTGTGTATGTTTTTAGTGTTATAGAGATGCTTTATTTTCCGAACGCAGCACATTGTGGCCGTATTCATAGTTATTATCAATGAGTGTTGGCTTTTTATTATTAAGTCTTCCATTATTTTCAATCTTTTTTTTACATGTGATAAAAATGTTACAATATTCTAAGAGAACATCTAAGAATGGGAGTTTATTTTTTGACAAAGTTCGTAGCTACAGAGTTTGTTTGTTTTTTTTTTCAATTGTGGTCTTGAGAGTATCTATTTCTTCAGTGTTATTGGCTAGAATAAAATATTGTCTACGTAACGGACATATATGTTAGGTTTACAGACCTGTTTAAATATCATATTTTCTACACACTCTGTGTCCAAAAAAGAAAACACATGTTCAAACACAAGAAAAATTAAATACAAAACTTTATCGTAGTACCTTGTCTGTCGCCTTTAATGAAACATAGATAGATAGATAGATAGATAGATAGATAGATAGATAGATAGATAGATAGATAGATGTGTGTGTAGGTGTGTTTAAACAAACGAAAAAATAAAATTCAAATATTCATATCATCAATTTAAAAAAGAGAGCTCAATACAGGAGTAGTGCAATAAATAGTTATTAAAAACTCTTACATTAGAACATGCAAGTTACTACTACAAAATTACATATTTTGTTTCAACTTAGTTAAAATAATTACCATTATTGTTAACTACCTGATGAGACGTGTTTAAAAGTCGAAACAAAATATGCGATTTTGTAGTAGTAACTTGCATGTTCTAATGCAACAGTTTCTAATATATATATATATATATATATATATATATATATATAAGCGCCAGATGATAGTTCATGTTAGAAATGGGACAAAGCAAAGATGTGTAATGTCCCCTGTTTTATTTGCTATTTACTTTTCTCTAATGTTAGTGTTTGCCTTCAGTGTTTATAGTAATGACGTTTTGTCTGAATTTAGAACACCTGGTGGTTTTTAATCACCAAACATTTAAGATAAAGTGTCTTTTGCAAGTTCTTTTAGAGTTCTTGTTTACAGATGACGCCGACTCTTGTTGCTCTTTCCAGAAAGCACAACAAAACGTAAACAGGTTTTCATCTGCAGTAAAAGCGTTTTGTTTAACAGTAAATGTAAAAAAAAAAAGTTATATACTAGCCAAAAGTTACACCTATCAAAAGGAGAATCATAATACTACATATCATGTCAGTTTTTTATTGACAACAAGTTTTAAAGTATGTGAAATGTTTCCCATACTGACATGAACAAAATCAAGTCTCATGCTTCAAAAGGTGATGAAATAATAAATAGGATCAGTAAGGCTAATGAAGCGCCGAAGTGAAGCCTTTTGGAAAGCTGTGAGTTATGGTTAGGAAAGACAGAAGACTCAATTTGAAACCAACATTTCAGTTTACCGTGCAGTTATACCAACGTTGCTGTATGAGTCCGAATCATTGGGCACCGTATAGAAAGCTTATTCACACCGCTAGATAATTTCCATAAGAGATGTCTTTCAAATGACTGTGATTTCACATAGAAAGTCTCTCATATGAGCAGTTGTTTGATGTGATATACAAATCATGAGAGGTCTTGATATAGTCTCAATTAAAATGGCTTTGCCATGTTGTTGGTATTGAAGGTTAAAGACTGTCGAATATTCTCATTAATGATCAACTTCAAGATTTTTTCTTACATACAAAGATAACCTGAAAGATAATATCAAACATTGGAATACAACCATCAAAATTTGGGGAGTAGGTGAAGAAAACATACAAAATGGCATTCGTAACCACATCCACACAAGAACTGAGACTATAATCTAAGACAAATTCGAAAGAATAATTTCTATGGTCCACAGTTCGTGGGTGGAAATGCGGTGTGGTTCGCAAAAGGAGAACAGGTTTAGTGCCTCACGGGAGACACAAACATCAAGATGTGGAGTAAAGCCAAAAGTACATTTTTGGCCCTCGTGCGTCGGAAACGGCGGTAGAATCACACACACACACACACACACACACACACACACACACATATATATATATATATATATATATATATATATGAATAAGGCAAAAGTTTTCAGTATTTTGATGTTCATATGAATCAAGATTTTGTTAAAAATTGTTGGAAATATTTGAATCTATGTAAGATTAGATAGACATGAATAAACTTACACAGATAGATATGAATATTCTGATTGATATTCAAATATATTTGGTTTCTTTTTAACTATGTAGATACATTAAAAAGCATCGAACTAGCATAAAACGGGTGATTTTTTTTTTCTTGTAAGCGATTTTTTCCTCCGGGTTACATTTTTCCATCTTTCCTGCCAACGAAATGCAACACCGGAAGTTAAGATGGCATTGATCCAGATCGATCGATTGATATAAAGAAGACGAGAAGATGAGAGACAACGTTAGATTATCTATGGCGGGAAATGTCAGCAAATCTCTCTCTGCGCATTCTTCTTTCACTCCATCTCGTTTACTTTCGTCCTACATAGCCTCGATTCCAAATTTAGATATCAGCGGCGCCAGCGTTCTCTGTGTGTTTTGTCCATCCTCCCTTTATATCTTGTATCACTCTCTCACTCTTTCTTTCTCTCTCTCCCTCTATCTCTTTCTCACATACACACCTAAATGTGTTCACATTTTTCTCTTTAATTGTCCTCATTCTCTCTCTCTCTCTCTCTCTCTCTCTCTCTCTCTCTCTCTCTCTCTCAACCTCGTATTCTTGCCAGTCCCTTTCTTTTCCTCGTGATTCAACTCTTATTCTTTATGTTCCTCACCCTCTTTTTTTGCTACTCTCTCCTGTTCCTACTTTTCAGTACTTCCGCCGCCAACCACTCTCTTTTATCTGTTTCTATCTCTCACTATTTCTCTCACTTCCATTCTCACTTTTTTGCCTTCTCTCATTACTTTCTCGCTCTTTCTTTCACCGCTTTTGTCCCACCTTTTCTCTCCCCCACTTTCTCAACTTGGATCTCTTTATATTATTTGCTAATCTTAGCTAAGTTTTAACGCAAGGCCACAAGTATGAAGCACCCAGTGAGGATCGAATTCTCTACTTATGACGAAGTGTAATACGAATGTCCCTCCGAAAGTAATGTCTCCTATATTATTTTGTCCCACGCCACGTTGGTGGCATTGGCAGTTTACTTTGATCCTTACCACAAACAATTTATAATTGCTTTGCCTTGTTACAGAGAGCAGCTGATCGATAGTCTGGCAAAGTGACGTCTGAAATAAAAGTATTTAAAATGCAGAGGTGGGTCATTAAATTACACCCTACGTAAAATCTGCCCCCATTGACATATACTGCTGAAAGTTTAGGAAAACCAAATTGACCATCTTTAGTTAATCAATGATTTCTAGGTCAACAATTGCAACCAATTCATGGAAGAATTCATTGAATCTAAACTAGAATTGTTCTTTTATGTTGGACTACACAATTTTTTTAAAAATTGACTTATGTATGTGTATTTCAGAAAGACCGTAAGGGGAATGAAGCATCATATATGATTTTGATAAAGTCAAACTGTACAGGGAAAACATATGGAATTGAATACTACAAAATAGTTTCTTGGGGAACAAGGATTCCTTGTTAATTCTTTTATATATATATATATATATATATATATATATATATATATATATATATATATGTATATATATATATATATATATATATATATATATATATATATATATATATAAATAGCATAAACGCTTTATGTTATTCTTTGTGCAGTTATTATTTTCCCCTCGTCTGACATGAAATATTCTCGCGAGATAAGAGTATCGAATCCGTAAACTGTATTGAAAAGATAATAAATAATTGGTAGAAATTAAGGAAGCTATATATACTTGAAGAAGGCTGAATAACATTAACCGAAGCGTCATGATTATAACGACAAACCGAATAATTATAAAGGAAATTAATAAAGGCATTATAAGAAAGATCGATTGATTGATTCTACTGGAAAGTTAATGGAAAAAAAACGAGTTATTTCAGATGTTAAATAAACCAAAAAATGTTTTAAAAGAATGTACCAGCCAGAACGCTGATAACAACAATGTGCTTACTTATTCGAAGAATCCCAAATATATATATATATATATATATATATATATATATATATTGCTACAATAAACAAAAAACGGATGATATTTATTCACTGTACAAAAATACATGACGCTAGTATGTCACAAGGAAGAACAAACAAAAATGTGAGGGCGGGAAGTAATTATCATAAAAAAACATTGAAACCCTAATTATGTGAACTCAAATATTTGAATGATGATTTAAGTGTGTCTTTCTCTTGGCATTGTTCTTTTGTTATTTTACGAGTTTCTTAAATTATTTTCATGCAAGGAAACACTTCTTCCATTTTATAGTTAGCATTTATCCCTTATCCAAATATTTGGGCCGATAAAAAACAAAAATCAATAGATTTTAAGAATTAGACATCAAACGTTTTTAATAAAATCGTCTCGTCTGTTTACTTTTAATTTTCTTATTCTGCAAATGGTAAAGGTTCCAGGTCTTGTTCTTAAGGAATATCTTTTGTGCTTTTTTCTTTCCGTCTCTTATTTATGAATTCTCCTTCTATTGTCTTTTCTTATTTTCATTTTTCTCTTATGTTATTCAATCTTCTTTTTATCTATTCTACAAATTGTCATTATTTTTCTTAATATTGCTCTCTAATCTATTCAGACCACTTCAAGTCTGTTCTTATCTCTCATTCGAATCTAATCAAACAATTTATCGCTATCGTCTCACTCTCTCTCTCTCTCTCTCTCTCTAATTATATATATATATATATATATATATATATATATATATATTACCAATTTGTGACTGGTAGGGATAATTTGAGCATTATAGTAATAATAATAAATCAAGAAAAAAAACCTAAATATGCATTTCAGTCATAATTTATTTCGTGAATATTCCAATATATTCATCTCTCTAGACCAAAAGTTCTTAATAAATGGAGACAATTTCTCCGAACTGATATTCTAGATTAACAGTAGGAAGGGAAAACAAGAGAGAAGAGAAGAAAGCGGTAGAGGAAGAAAGAAAATAACAGATTTTCGAATATAAAATTATTTTTAAAACATAAAAGAGAGAAAGAGGAAGAGAGAGAAAGGAAAGAAAGAAGAAATAAATGATGCGATAGTAGTAAAAGTAAAATAGAATGACTTGGCCAAATATGTTTTCCTTTAAGGGTTGAATAAGTTTGTACATCGAGTTAGGTGGTATGTGATCAGACTTGAAAGAGTTAAACAAATTGTCTGACAGAACCTGTTATTTTAGGCAACAATAATCATCACAAATTCAAATTAGTTAGTCTAATAAAGATAACACTAATAATAATATCCAACATAAATAATTTAATTAAAATAAAAGTAAAATAAAAGTTTTTTTTAATAAAAAAAGTAATAGATAAAAGATAACTAAATAAGTAAATCAATATATAGATAATTATAGAGAAGAATTTAGAATATAAACATCGAAGGATAAACATAATAAATATACACCAATTAATAATAGTACTAAAATTATTCATTTAAAATAATAGATGATATATACATCAGTAATACAATCATGCATATAAAAAAAAACACAAATTGCATGATAAGCAATATAATCACACATATACATATACATATGAATATATGTACACACATGTATGCTAGTACTCATATGAAAGAATCAACATTTCAAGTGTATAATGGACACTGAGGTTAAGACCGAATGGTGGAGACAGTCCCTCATGCTTGAACGCAATCTTTAGACTGTATGGTGGGTCGACTATTTATATATGCTGGTAAATATGGTATTTTCCTGACTGTTATTTGGATAGGCGGTAACGATTATATTTTAAAAGCTCAACCTGCGAGCTTATAGGCATACATTTGAAAAAAGAAAAAAAAAAACTTCACCCAGGATCTCTCTCGTTCTTCCTTACTCTTAATTCTCCTTCTTTTCTCGCAACTTTTCTCATACGAAACTAACAAAATCCCCGACTCACACTTTCAGTCGGGTTTTATATATTTTCTTCCTTCCCATAATCCGTCTCTTTCCGCAGTATATTTCTATAAAAGAAATCGACACCTGTCGCTGCTTCTTTTTCTTCCTCACCACGAGATAAGAAACATTCCATTTTCTCTTCTTTCTTCATTTAAACTACATGCCCCCATATTCCTAAAAGACCATTTCACACAACATAGTTTCGTACCCAGGTCGGCGCTTTGCGCTCTCTCTATGCCGTTTTTGCGTTGGAGCCGTTTCATTTCTATCTCCTCCATGTTCAGTATTTACATCATCACCTGCAAATTCAAAATATGCCGCGGCATATCATCAACGGTCAGGATGTTAGGTGCTTGGTGAAGTTCCGAGCGGAAAACCGCGCCAATGTCCATTACCACCTCCACGACTTGTTCAAGAATCACCTTCTCCAGTTCTTCTGCAATCCGTTTCCGTGTGCAATTCCCACCATATCGTCAGTCGCCCAGGTCCACAGTCCATCAACAAGTACGCACCTCCGTGATAGTGTGTTATATCGACAGCTAACCTCGTCCAATTGTGTGTAGTTCCAATCTCACCAGGATCATTCAGGTTCAGGGCAGAGTCAATCGATTGACATCTAGTGCAGTTCCTGGCCATCCTCTGGAATTACTCCCTTTTTACGAGCGGGTCGAGTTTTCGCACCAAATATAGAGTCCTGTCCACTCCCATATGATGCATACCGTGCAACTCTTCTAATTCTCTGGTCCATAGACAGCATACCCGGGCTTCTTCCTCCTCCTTGACGACCAACCACTTTTTGTTTACTCGCGTTAGTGTATCCGCTTTAATTCTTTCCGAAAGCACAAACACTGCTTTCATTAGTAATCCAAATTCAGATATCAAATCTCCCAGTATTCCTAATCTCTGCTTTACTATCATTTCCCCGCAGCACCTTTTATCCATATTCTTCTGCTCTCCTCTACAGTAGAGTTTACCCAACTTAGTACTGTAGCTGAATCAGTCCTTATTTCCACCTCTCTTAAGCCCCCCCACCACCACCACTTTAAAGCCAAATTAACGCCTTTTAGCACAGCACCTAATTCAGCCATATTGATGTAATTATAGTCGTCCTTTTTTCTCAGCCATGCTGCATCTTCCGACACCAAACCACCGATCTTTAAGACTACGCCTGCAGCAATACTGCTCGCAGTAGGCCGACTTAAGGTCCACGATCGTTGTTCCTGCAGCCAACTTTCCACCTCCTTTTCAAACTCTATTTTTTTTTCTTCTTCGTTTAAAGGATTATTATAGTACTCCACTTTATTTTTAATACCGGAGACTCTCCTATCCAATTCCACTCTACAGCCCATTTCTTTCCATCGAATTCTGCTGTGAAATCCCTGTTTTCAATTTTGCAAGAATTTGGAACTTAAGCAGCTGCGGCACAGTATACCTTTCCAGACGTTTTTTTTTTTTTTTTTTACAGTCACACCTCCCAGTTTATTGATCCAGTCTATTCCGACAACAATGTCTATCCCGTTGATGATGCGATAATTGCTTCTATTTTTATCCTCGCTCCACCTACTTTTATCTCCACCCGCCGGGTTCCTTCACATTACTTCCACACCATCCACTCACAAGCTTGGGATTAAATAAAATGGTTGCGCAACCGGTATCAACAAGAGCCAACTAATTTTAACTCCTCTCTTTGAATCAATCAGTCCATCAAATCAGGCAACCGTGTTGATAAACTAAAGGAAACAAATATGACTGACATATTGCCAGTCTAGATATAAAATCACTTTACACTCATGTCCCGGTTGAAACTGCTTAAATCTCTTAAACTTTGGTAGGGAATGATTTATGTTTGATTGTGTTAGATACTTTAAGCCTTAAAGTATCTAACACAATCAAAGATAAACCTCTCCCTACCAAGAGATAAAATAACAAAAATCTGCCATCTTATCACCAATCAATGTTAATAACAATTTTTACAAACAAAATTTTGGATTACCAATGGGATCGCCTCTCAGTGGATTGACGTCATGTATTTTCTTAGAATTTCTAGCATCTGGTTCTTTCTAAAATATTTTACCTAAACAATCAACTTATATCCGATATATTGATGGTGCTCTGTTTATATAACCCCATAATACTGACTTACCTGATCTTGTAGATAAACTAAACAAAGTCGAACATACAATAGGATTTTCATACGAAATGGAAGAAAACAATATTTTGAAAATCTTAGACATCATGTTACACCGAATTGACAGCTTAATATAATACTCCTTCGCTTACAAAAGTAATTTTTTTCTGAAGTTATGCAACATCACTCGAAAATGTAACAAAAATTTTAGTTCCGAAACAGGAGAATTTCTGTATTGCGATGATAAAATATTTTAAATAATAATATTATAATATTAAGCTCTACTTTGTATCGAGCACTTTTTGAAAAAATAAATGCCAAAAATCTGTTCTTTCTTTTTTTGAATATATATATATATATATATATATATATATATACACAGATATATATATACACAGATATATACATATATATATACACGCATACATATATATACATATATATACATACTTATTTATATGTACACGTATATATATATATATATATATATTTATACACGTTTCATTAAATAATATAGACAAGTGTTGTCTATTTATTTTATGTAAAAATTTTTCGTATCTTCTGATAAGTTTGATAACATTATCATTAACCGAAAAAAAAATTCACAATATTTATCCATTATTTTTTTAATAAAATCTAAGCTTTTCGGCTTACACAAGCCATTATCAAAGATGTAATTACAAACATATCAAACAATATACGGACACGACAGTGATGATAGTCTGTCATTGTTTTGTTTACATAGTGGATCACTAAGCAACGATGAACACGCGCATATAAGACGCTAGAAGCGAAAATCGCACCGCATCTCATGACGTCACACATGACTACACGAGAGTGAATTGGAGAATGAAATAATGAAAGCCGTTGGTATAAACCAATGGCTTCTGTTACCAATTATAGAAATTATAGACATTTAAGAATATTTGTAGAGATTCCATAGTTGATTTTGTTTAGGTTGGGTTTTAACTGTTTGATGTATAATGCTTCAAGTATTTTTAGTTTTTGTCTATTGTTTTCATGTCGAAGTATAGTTGTGTTTTCGACAAGTATTTTACGGAATTGTGTGTGCGGGCAGGCATGTTGTTTTAAATGCCTAAAAATGTTAGAGTTTTCATTAAAATGTAGTGTCAAGCGTCGTGAAAGCGAGTTTGTGGTGTGACAAATATTCTTAAATATCTATAATTTCTATAATTGGTAACAGAAGCCATTGGTTTATACCAACGGCTTTCATTATTTCATTCTCCAATTCACTCTCGTGTAGTCATGTGTGACGTCATGAGATGCGGTGCGATTTTCGCTTCTAGCGTCTTATATGCGCGTGTTCATCGTTGCTTAGTGATCCACTATGTAAACAAAACAATGACAGACTATCATCACTGTCGTGTCCGTATATTGTTTGATATGTTTGTAATTACATCTTTGATAATGGCTTGTGTAAGCCGAAAGCTTAGATTTTATTAAAAAATAATGGATAAATATTGTGAATTTCTTTTTTCGGTTAATGATAATGTTATCAAACTTATCAGAAGATACGAAAAAATTTTACATAAAATAAATAGACAACACTTGTCTATATTATTTAATGAAACGTGTATAAATGAAAATATGCTGCCTAAATACACACAATATATATATATATA